CTATGAATATTCTTTTAGAGTTTGAGGTCCCATGTAAGTAGGAATGTGTTCCATAAGGTCCTATGAGTTGTAAATGAATAATATTAGTGTACTATTATACCCCTAATTTGTTTTCATATTGTACCTTATTTTATCATTCATCGTATCACGTTTAGGAAGGTTTTTAGGAAAGACAAGTCTATAAGCAACAACTATGCGATTTTTTTTCTTCTTGATCACAGGATTCCAGTGCATTTTCAAAATGTTGTTTAAATGGATGTGGATATGGTTGATGATATGATGAAGTTTGAAGGTTGTGTGTTGATTCGTTCGACAGATTTTGACTCCAATCGGCTGAAAAGAAGAGGTATTTTGTGTGTTTGTGTGTGTGTGTGTTGAAGTGTGTTGCTATTTGTTGAAGTATGGATTGTTCATTTTTAATAGGGCATTGACAATCTATTACACTCATTGATAGGCACATTTTGGCCACTGTTCTGATTAAATGTGTGTATTTGACATTATGATGGTTGATGAGTTTTGATATGTTCAATGTGTGGGGTAGTGTGTATGGATTGAAGGGTTGGGCTGGGGGGCATTTGGTTTTGGTTGTTAATTGGATGTTGAATGTGACCCACGTAATAGAATGGCAATTGTAAATTGGGACCTGGATGATCATGTTATGATGCATGTTACGTTTAGTGTGTAATGTTAATCCACACACACAATGTAGTAGATGACATTTGTGTGTTTGTTCGGTTGTATATGTGTTTGAATGTGTATTGTGTCTTTATTGTAATCAGTGTTTACATACATGTTACAGTACATTATGCAAAATTATTAGGGATTTGGGTTTGTAATTGAATGTGGATTGAATCCCATCGCTCGATGTTGAAGTTACGTTGGGTTGGGGGTGATGGTGGTTCAATACATGGGTTGAGTTAGAATGTTACATGTTAGATTTAGGAGGTTATATTATTCATAATTCAACGGTGGAGTATAGGAATATCACGTTGGGTTTGAGATGAGAAGCATATGGGAATGTCACGGTGAGTTTAGGAGTTATATGTTACACTTACGTTAGGTTTGGGATGAGAAGTATATGAGGATGTCACGTTGGGTTTAGGAATGTCACGTTGGGTTTGTGATGTTACATGTTAAATTTAAATCTTAAATTTCCTACCATATAGATGTGATCACGATCTATGGTAATCAATGAATTTCCCATATATGGTATTGCCATTAATTAGGTTGTTTTTAATTTCAAAATGTCATATATATATATATATATATGATTACAAAAATGTAATTAAAAAATATTTAAAAGGAAAATCGAGAGAGTTGGTTCAGCTCACCACAATCATATTATTCTTAAAACAGTGTTACAATAATATGCAATATGATTTGTCATCAATACCCCGTAACATTATTATTATTTAAAATTATATTATCTTCTCAAAACCAAAAACAAAAATGAAAACAACAGAACAGAACAGAAAAAGCAAAAATGATTCTTTGATAATCGCTAATTGTTAATGACACTTTTTACATATTAAAAGGGGAAAAAAAAAAAAAAACACTATCTACAAGGAATTTCTTTTCTTTATTTTGTGCTGTTTTGCATCTTTTTTATCGTCGTCACTCTAAAGAATTGAACAAAATGCCCTTCTAGCTAGGATTTTGAATTTGTAGTCCAAAATTTTTTCACAAAGGACTGAGCTTTTCTCTAATTGGTGAGGTGTTGTTAGACTTTGATAGACCATCTTGAGTCTATATTGGTAATTCAAAGATTTTTTTCATGCAAAATTTAGTTCATATAGTCAGATTACAATACTATTTTTATATAAATAATTTGTTTGACGAATAATAATAAAATAATCATTGTATTATTTTTCTCACCTAACATTCATAAAATTATTCAAATGTAGTGTTGAATTCGTTGGAAAATGGAATGGTTACTCTCCTAAATTGGCTGGAATATAAATTTTTCTCCTTCTTACCAAACCAAACAAGAGAGAATATTTTGATGAAACAAAAAAATTTTCATTTTCATTTTCATTTTAGCGAATCAAACAACCAAACAGGAAATTTATTTATTTATTTTAATAAACGGACCAGAGGCCCCAATTCATAACCTGTCAAATATTGGCGTCATCCCTAAACCAACATATGCTTGGTTGTACCTGAGAATTTCTCTTTTCTATTCCTTTTTTTTTTTTACCACATTTTGGTGAGTATTGGACAGCAAATTATGCTATGAACGCATAAAGGAAAATCACCAATCTTTTCTTACGTGATTTTGGAAATCGAATACCAAAAATTGAAAAAAGTGTACCAAAATCACCAATCCTTCTACGTTCTTTTTTTTTGTTTTCTTAATTTTTTAAAAATTTTATTTAGATCATGAATTTGGATAGGGATATTTTTTTTTTTAAAAAAAATATGAATGAAATGTGAATGAAATATAATTATATTTCACTTACGTTTTTTCTTTTCTTTCCAAATTTTTACCCAAATTTATAATTCAAACACAATTTTAAAGATTGGCACCTTTCTGTCTATTGATGAAAAATGAAGAGATAAGAAGAATCTGTCGATTGATGGAAAATGAAGAGATAAGAAGAAAGCACAAGTCACCATGTGTCAACATGTTGATGATAAACAATACCTATTATTTACTATTTTTAACACTTTAACATTAGAGAGCCACCTTGAGCTATTGCCAAAGCATCACATTTAAGTATATAACCGAATACAAGTATGACAATCTTGGCTTTGGGGATATTTTTAACTGCCCTATACTCCACTTTCTGGTAGCCATTTCCAGGATTACATTGCTCATCATAGCTCTGCCTCTGGGCTGCGACCACCACCACCCCAAGAAGTCTCATATTCTTGCATCACGGTAATTGCCTTCGGAACATGCCACTCATACTGGTGGTCATTTTGGCCACTCCACCCCTCTTGTGGCTGAACATAGCCACCTCCATTGAACTTCGCAATATGGTGGTTTGAGGACGGTTGTTCTGGCCACTCCACCCCTCTTGCTGCCCAGCATAACTACCATCGAACTTCATATGACGATGGTTTGAGGGCAGTGGAGTGGCGATGCCACCATATTGGTGGTTGTTCTGGCCACTCGGTGGAGTGGGGGTGCCATCATATTGGAAGTTGTTCTTGCCACTCCACCCCTCCTGTAGTTGAGCATAGCCGCCATCAAAGATCATTTGATGGTAGTTTGATGGCAGCAAATTGGAGGTGCCAAGTGGCATCTGTGGGACATAGGTTAGGTGGCTGTTTGACGGCGCATACTAGTAACCCTCTTGCTGGCGGACATCGTAGACTTGGTGCTGCTGGTATGCAACACCAGGATAGGCATCAATTTGGATGACCATTTGCGAATGTACACATTTTATCTGAGCTTTTGCATGCTATTTATAAGGTTTGTTTGGTGGTGAAAAATAGATGAGCCTAACAACTTTAAACCGCTAAATTTTACTTTTATCGCCTTATGGTTTGATCCCTGTATGGATTACTCTCATCTCATTTGAAAATAATTACACAACCCTTTTGTGATTTGTGATGCACAGTAATAATTTAATAAAAAGACTAAAATACTCCTATATATAAGTAACTTAAGTCTGTAAACTAAGAATATTTTTGTCATTTTTTGATTAGGAGGCAAAATGCACTTTAACCCCCTGTATTTTATTTCATGTGCAATTTATTTCTTTAAAATTTGAAAATGAGCATATAACCTATTTGCGTCTGACACATGTTTCACACATGTTGAATGGAATGTCTAACAATGCACTTTAGTTCATATATGATTATTTTCAAATGAGAATGAGGTAATCTGCACATGACCCAAATTACAAGGGATAAAATGAAATCGACAATGCTACGTAGCTCAAATTTTGTGGCTCAAAAGTGGCTCAAATGGCCAAAACGACGTCGTTTTGAGTACAGAACAACATAAAAATGGCCAAAACGACGTCGTTTTGGCCATTTGAGCCACAAAATTTGAGTTACGAGACATTTTCCAAATGAAATTTGCCCAACTTTAAATAAATAATAATATGTCACCAAATATTATTAGTGGAACAGAAAGCATCTGATTCCTACCTTCACAACTGAAAGAGAAGAGAATTTCTACCCATGCATAACTAAACTTGGAGAAGAACATAACAACTCAATTCAAACAAAAATAACTCAACTCTCAATAAAACTTCATATCTAAAAAAACTCGCAATAAAACTTATGGTCTCAAATTATTTTGAGTGGACTACAATTATTCATTTTCTCTAATAACTTTTATTAGTAGTAATATCCTCAATTATTTAGGATATATTGTTGAAAAAACAGTACAGAATTTACATGAAATAGAAACTGGTTTGGCACGTCACACACACACACACACACACACACACAAAAAAAACTGGTTTTGAAAAACAGAAACTGGAAACAATATCTGTGTTTGTGTAAAACAAACAACATAAATAGTACTTTTTGAATAAACTAGAAATAGAAAACCACAAAAACAGATCTCTAATTACTTTTATTAGTAGTAATAGTAATAAAAGTTCTCCAACTCCCACCTACTCTTCTAACCAGCCACCCATTACTGCCACCTCCAGATCAATTCACCACCTCCACACACAAAACAGTCACCAGCCAAACACCACTGTTTTCTTCCCAAAAACACAGGATACTCAAACCTCTACCCCCTTACCCCTCCAACCTTCACACATCAATTATAGGTTTTGTGGATTTTGATGTTGATAGAGTAGATGAGGTAGAGAACAGAGAATTGCAGGATATGAAAAACATTTTTAAGGCTTTATGAATATAAGTTCCTATAGGAATTTTTTTTTTAATGATTTGTTTTGACAAGAAGCAAGAAGCTGCAGCAACTGATGTGTTTAATAGGTGGCTATAGATCAAAGAATTGTCAAGAATAACCTTAAACTTGAAACAGAGTAGATAATGATTAAGAAAAAGACGCCAAAGAGCAAGTCAACAAGTTAAATAACAGCACAATTTGCAAAAATATATGCATAGATTAGTCGCAAATCAAAATTTCCTAACGTGAGGTAAGCCCAAGAACAGTCACATATCTTCTTTGGGCTTGGGGGTTATGCATAACAATGCAAATACATATGTTCCGTCTCCAATGAAGACCAACTCTAAGGAGAAAGTTATCTACAGATTTCACCCCAGGAATCCAAGAACTCATCCAATTTTCCAAACATTTCTGAAAGAATGATAAATACCTACTGACATATACAGCAGCTCAGTCATCGATTCAGAAAAACTCCTCCGGAGCTGGCGCTATATCTGCCCAGTTTCTCTTAAACAATTCCCAGGCAAGAGAAATTTATACTCATCAGCATTTTCCAAAAGATATGAGGGAAGATGAACGGCTGAGTATGAACGGGGAATGGGTCCCATCTTTCCGATGATTTCCTTGAATGTATACTCCTCGGGCAGCATATCAAATAAGTCAGCCCCTTTGCAGATCACTTTCTGAACTCTATTAGGGTTCAAGTAATGAGAGAACCTCACTCTGTCAAAATGACTATATGCTTTCATTTTGAATACGAATTCATGGATATGGCGAAAACAAAAGCTACAATGCCACCCTGCATCGGCTAAGATCACATCAGATTGGCGATAATGTGCATACCGAGTCTTACCGGATTCATACTTGTGGATCGAAGCTCTCCAACTATTATTATCGACAAGAAACTCAAAAGAGTAGAGATAATTCTTCAAACGAAGATGGACGATCGGGGGTATGTCGTCACACCACCTCAAGAGATCAATAGTGTGTCGACTTGGTATCTCATCAACATCTGACATTATCAACAAGTCATCATCTGTTATACCTGCTAGTTTGAGAAGATGATCCAACGCTAGGCGCTGATATGCCTCCTCAATGAATGGGTTTTCCCCTTTCCTCGATCTCCCCGGAATTTTCCCATACGTCAAACGTGGCTCGATGAATTTGAATTGATCTCGATTGTTTTCAAAAACCCGAGGCTTTGGAATTCCAGTGAAGGTTGAGTTTGACTCGAGGAGAACAAAACCTGTTATGTAAGGGTATAATTCTTTCCATCTTATGGTGAGAATCTCAAGTTCATTACTAAACAAGACTGCATCGAAAACACGTCGTGGGTACTCACGAATTCCCCACCCATGTAGTCTACAAAGGTGCTCCATGGAAACGTTCTCGTGATAATAGTGAGGCATTTCAATGAAGGGCTTGGGTGGCGATTCCCACAGTGGCCGCAAGAAGTATGAGATCTTTTGCCCATGCAAATATCCAACACAGATGCATGTCGGAACCATAATAAATAGAAAGATGTAAATTTTCAAATCCAGTCCTCGAAGAATACATCGCAGCCTCGACATGCTCAACACTCTGCCCGGTTCCTGTAGATTCAAAAAAAATATATATTTTTTCTAAGACTCGCCACACAGAGATACAAAATAAAAAAAGGACGATTTTCTGCAAAGACTATGAAAACAGAGATTATAATTCATATTCCAGAGAGGAGCAAGTGGGAAATTATTAAGCAACCATAATAATACATTAAGATGTACGTGAAACACTATCCAAGCCAATACAATACACAGGGCTTCCCTACTTTGTGCAAATCTTAATGGAATTCTTTGAGATGTAAATGGGTTCTAATCCTCGATATTATTAGAGCCATAGAGGCAACAGTGTGTGTAATGTAACCCAAAGGATTTACTAATATAATTGAAAGGGCATACTAACTAGAATTGTAAGGAATATTCATGCTGATCATTACCTATTCCAAGAAACATAATTGCAGGAAAAACTTGAAAGTGTAAAATAACATCACCCAGTTTAGTACCTATTGGATGGAAGACCCATTTTAGTCTCCAAGGATTTGGGAGGGGTTAAGTGGGTAAAACTGAACATTTGGCATAATTTGAATAAAATGACTGCTCTCATGTTTGAACCCACAACTTAGTAGAGGCCGATAGAAACCCATGAAAAATAAAATAAAAGGGAAAAGAATGTTTTTTTTAAAATAATTATTTTACTTTTTTGTAAAGCCCATACCACAAAAAAGATACAATTCAAAATTCTATTGGTTTCATGGTCTCTCTCAAGGTTTCTTTGGATCAAGAAGAGAGTTTTATGATCCCCTGTGTTTCCCTCTGTTTATTCTGTGATCATGTTCTTTGGAACCCTTGAACTTTCAATTGAATAGAAGATACACAAGGGTCAACGGTTAAGAAGTCAAACAGACAACGAAATGTTAAAAACTCAAAATGCTCTCTATTTTCTCTTACTTTTCCTCGCATTTTCTCGGCAACCAAACAAAGCATGATGAATCGACCAAAAACAAACAAATAAAACCAAATCCCAACAATGTTGTAACAAAGAAAACTTTAAAAAATCGAAAATTACAAAATCAAGTTAAGATCAACAACAATAACAATCACTGAGAAACAAATTTATGATGAGAGAGAAAGGGGAAAATCTACCTCATCGCAACCATCACAGCAGATATCGTCTGTCTTCTTAGAACAGTAATGAGATCCTCCTTCCGCCATCATATACACTTTCTCGGAAAATCTAGATAGACCCCACATCTCTCTCTCTCTCTCTCTCTCTCTCTCTCTCTCTCTCACACACACACACACACACACACTACAATCACTCACTGAAACCCAGAAAAAACTTGAAGTCGCCGAAAAAGTCAGACACTTCACTGCACAAACCCACCAGAAATCGATCGGAAAATCGGAGATCGGGATGGGTTTGTCTATGAATGAGAAAACCCAGATGGAGAGGGCTATGAGAATCCCCAAATCAATGAATTTAGAGAGAGTATTGGATTGGAAGAGACAGGAGAGACCGAACGAAGGGTTGCGCTGTGCGGAGGGGAGGGAAGGGTGAGTAGTGTGTGTTTGTGTTTATGTGTGGGTGGCTGTATGGTATGGTGTATGGTTAATGGGTGGCAGTTGTAGACGCTAAAAGGAAGCCGTTTCTTCCTGTCTTCTACCCTACTTTTCTCTCACCATCCTTATATCTCTTAAAAGTGTTGAGATCGTTAAAAATTTTAAAATTTTTACTAGTATTTAGGGTTAGTTTGGCATGTACTAAATAAGTTAAAAAGTCAAAAAGTCACTATACTATTTAAGTCACATCATCTTATTTAAATCATATCACCTCTCTAACACATCACATCAAATCCAACCCAAACTCAACCCAAACCCACCAATAAGTCAAAAAGTGCACTTTTTTAGGACATCCCAAACCAACCCTAAGTTTATGACTCACACGGATTGTATATGAGTCTTATATCTGACATATTTAATAAAAATTTTGATAAAATTTTTAAAATATATATATATATATGTACCTCTACGTATGTATTTAATTTAAAAATATATATATTGTGTGGGTAATTTTCTGACCACACTGCCCGCCTAGTAATCAGCTGGAGAGTACCGGCAGAATAGATGGCTTCAGCAAACCTGTAACAGAAAGAAAAAGCTCCGGCGGTGGCTCTTCCACCCGGGGGCACTCCGACGATCAAGTCAGTATCTCTCAAAGATAATCAAGTGCTAAACTTATTGCTCAAAACATAAATTGTGTACCCTAAACTCACGGGGTGCCTCTCTTTTATAGTTTACTAAATCCAAGTCCCACTAGAAGCCTGACTTCTATGGATTCCAATTCAATACTGACTTTGAACTCTTCAACAGATAAAGATAAACTCCCTAAAGGTTTTATCCTTATCTTGGCTAAGTCTTCTCTTTACTCTAGGACTCTTATCCCTTATCCGCTTATTTCGGATTCCGATATCTTTGGAGATCACCTCGGCCTCGCCAAGATAACCTCGGCATAACTACCACGACACGTGGCACCTCGGCTGACACGTCGGCGTCACCACGCCGCGTGTTGGTATTCGGAAAATATATCCCCACAACTGCCCCCTAGGTTCTATTACCTCGGCATTCTGAGGTAATGGAACCTATATCTGTATTGTCTTCTAGTACCTCAGCGTAAGAACTCTTTAGCCGAGATCATTCATGTCAACCCGATATGTCTTATTTTCAAGAACAAGAACTCAAATGAACTTTCCCACGCGCATGAGCTGTCATGCATTACTTCTCAACCGTTTCCTGCACATGTTTCTTCTTTACTGGCCCGTGCATGTGACGCGCCTGTAAGCCGTCTTAATCTGTCTGCACCGTCTGACGTATGCGATGTTCTAGGCGCATTAAATGTCCTGTTTTGCCGCCGTTTCAAGTTTTTAACAAAACTTTGTTTTTTCCCTCTTTCTTTCCTTACCTTTGTATTCGATTTACTTGTTTTTCTCTCTCTAAAGCCCTTGCTTCTTGAATCCACCATTGCTTAAGGCTCCAAGTTCTGCAACCGTCTTCGTTCGTCTTTCTGGTGAAGCTTTTACCACTCTGGTACTTCAGTAACCGTCGTCTATCTTTGGCGAATTTCATTCCGACCTCAATTTCTCTGGTAAGCCACTATTCCTTGTGTATTCATTTTTACTGATGTTCTTCTATTCTTCTTGCTGCCATTACTGTTCTGTTTAAACTGTTAATTCCGTGAATCATTTTTATTGTTCACCACTTCTTGCATTTTTGGCCACTGTTTTTGGTTCTTTATTCCTCGTATTCTTCATGTTCTTGATAGCCCATCCCTGTTCTTGTTTCTAAAACTTCGCCTTTGTTTTCTATTTTTTGTGTCTTTGCCAGATCTCTACCTTCAATTTTTACTTTCCATCTTTGCCTTCATAGATTTAGGTTTGGGATTTGTCTATAGAACCTATCAATTCTTAGGAAAAAACTGAAACAATCCTTACCAGCATATACCTAGGGTTTCGCCGAGGTCCAATAATCCTCTTAAGAGCATCTTCTTTCTGAAACCTAGCCCTCTGATTCTAGGCCGACGTTATGGGTATGTGGAGACATAGGGTAGACAACCCGACCAAACTTGAGTACTTTAGGCAAGAGTTCTCTATTCCTGCCGATGTCCATCTGAGGCTGGCTAAAGATAACGACTCCATCATGTCCACAGATGATTCAATGCCCTTTCCCATAGTAGCTTTTACTGAGTGCGGACTCCGGCTCCCACTTAACATTCTCTTTCGCGAAATTCTTCACTTTTACAAGTTGAACCCTATGCAACTTGCCATAAACTCTTATCGAGTGATCAATGGCATCATAGTTTTAGCTAGGTAGGAGAATGCTAGGATCACCCTTGCCGACATCCAGTACTGTTATACCATGTGCCCCCTTTAACCTGAAGGAAAAAGGCTTCGTCTATTATCTTAAGCCGAGGTCCACTGAATTCAAAATCGTAGCCGACCTCCCAGACTCCAACAAGGGGGCTGGAGATGACTATGTTATTGTTTCGGGAAACTGGGAGTTTGGTGCAGACGAGGACGCCCATCTCTACCCTCTTCCCCGATCAATTAAAGAGGGCAAGGGTAAGAGCCCAGTGTCAATACTTAGTTGTTTCTGTTCAAGTTTTCAATATTTTATCTGTTTCTAATGTCTGTTTCTTCTTGCAGACGTTCGTAAGTCACCAAAAGACTTTCGCCAATCCTACGTTCCCAGCAAAGTCTTAAAGAGGCTCCTAGATCTGCCAATCCAAAAGCGCAAGGCTCCACTGGTACTGAATTTTATTCCGACGTACAAGTCTACACTGCCCGACGTCCCAAAAAGAAAGAAGAAGAGTTTGTCTCCTCCCTCTACTACCACTTTACAAACCGCATCAACATCTCGGGCTGACTAAGGGTCAACCTCTGATCTAGCCGATCAACCATCAACTTCAACTCTATACTTGGTCCCAATATCCGAAAGAAAACGTCGGCGACGACTTGTCAAAACTGCTGAGATGGGTTACCCGAAGCCTGTTGCCAAAGATCTCCTAGCCGACCTCCCAGTTGATGTTGATGCTGGACCAACCCAATCCATGCCCCCACCAAAGCCAAAAAGAACAAAAAGGGTTCAGCCTAAGGCCAAAGCTATCGAGGTTGAGGCTAAGGATGCTCAGCCCATCTCACAATTGGCTGAGAGTAAAAAACTGTTTTTGCTTCTGTAAAAAGGTCTACTGAGGCCCAGCCATCAAAGTCCACCCAATCAAAGAAGCCGAGGTCATCGTCTGCGGTCAACCTCTGATCTAGCCGATCAACCATCAACTTCAACTCTATACTTGGTCCCAATATCCGAAAGAAAACGTCGGCGACGACTTGTCAAAACTGCTGAGATGGGTTACCCGAAGCCTGTTGCCAAAGATCTCCTAGCCGACCTCCCAGTTGATGTTGATGCTGGACCAACCCAATCCATGCCCCCACCAAAGCCAAAAAGAACAAAAAGGGTTCAGCCTAAGGTCAAAGCTATCGAGGTTGAGGCTGAGGATGCTCAGCCCATCTCACAATTGGCTGAGAGTAAAAAACTGCTTTTGCTTCTGCAAAAAGGTCTACTGAGGCCCAGCCATCAAAGTCCACCCAATCAAAGAAGCCGAGGTCATCGTCTGCGACGACCTCGGGTTCTAGAATACCAAAAGTCCCCTGGACACCTGAGATCACTCTAGAAGATAAGTCTGTCCTTGCCAACGACAGCGCCGATGATATAAACGTCGGCGTGGCACTCAGTACTGCTTTACTCCTCCCAGGCGATCTTGAGCGGAATGCCAAGATGAGTGAGTATGAGAACTACGCCTTTATGCTGCAACGCTCTGTCCAAGTAAGTGCCTTTATGCTGAAATTTGTTTTCTCTCTTACTTTGTAAAATTTTGTAGCAATTTGTGCCTTGTGTTCTTTCAGGCCATCTAACATGCCCACTCTCTCTCCATGCAAGCTTTTGAAAATCGGCAAAGATTGGCCGACATGAAGAGAGAGGTTTCTGCCCTGAAAAAGGAGAACAAAACTCTTCAATTAAAGATGAAAAAACTGGAAGACCAGGCTCAGGCTACCACCAAAGCCCAAACCCTTGCCGAGGAAAAGGCCGAATCTGCCGAGGCTATTAAAAAGGTCGCCGAGGCCGAAAAGAGAGAGGCCGAGGACAAAAAGGTCCAAGCCAAAAAGGAACTTCAGGAGGCCTTAGTTACCAAAGATGCTGAGATTAAGGAGGCTGACGAGAAGACTTATGCTCAAGGAATGGCCGGCGTCACTGAGGAGTACAAACTGCAAGTTAGGCTGGCATGCAACAGGGGCTTCTCCCTTGGTTGGATGGCCCTTGCCAAAAAGCTCAACATCCCAGATGACTCGCCATTGCGCAAGGCTGATGATAGCCCTCTGCCATACCCTCCCCCTCCTCCTCCAAGTCATCCTAAAGAAGAATCCGAATCTGAGTCTGAAGATGTGGAGGGGGGTGAGGAGGAGGGTTTAATAAGAAAATCCAAGGAGGCTGTTGGGGCTAAGTCTCCTTCTCTGAATGAACAGGTCCTGGACCTGACTCAAGATAAAGATGGCGATGAAGTTATCAAGGAGGCTACCCCGGAGCAGGGTTCATCCGACATTCCTCAAATCGGCAAGAGCGTTGATGAAACCCTTGCCGAGATCGACACCGAGATTGTTGCAGATAAGGAAGTCGAGGTATCTCTTCAGGAGACTTCTGAGGTCCAGATCCAGCCAGTTGCTGATGCTGAAAAGTCTTAACTTTCATGTCTTTTCTTTTGTACTTTGTTTTGTTTTCTGGACAATGTAAGCTTCCTTTCATGGCCGTAGTGCCTTCTTTTGTACACAACTGCAACTGTTTTTCTATGGATGCTTTAATCTTTTAATTTCTCTTCATTTGCTTTTGCATGGTTCTATACTTAGAATATTTTGTATGTCTTTCATATTTTGCCACCTTTGTGCAATCTTCTCGGGGTTACATATCTCGGGTATAATAACTACAAGCTTTACTTCGGCAAGATACTGACCCTACAAACTTTTCATAAATTTCAACAAGTGTAAGACATATATTATTCAATGTCAACTTTGCGAACGTTTCTCAATGTTTCAATCAAGTGTTTAGACAGTGATCTTAGTCTAAC